CCACGTGACAGACTCAGATGGAACTCCTGGCTTCAGCCTAGCCCAACTGTTATAGCTATTTGAGGATGGAACCAGGGATTGGAAGAGTGCTCGCTCTCTCTCTCTCTCTCTCTCTCTCTCTCTCTTTTCTGCCTCTCCCTCTCCCACTCTGCCTTTCAAATAAATAAATAAAAATATTTATTATTTTTTATGAAAAAAATACAGAAAGAAACAGAAGGCCTATGGTAGTTAGTCTGTAAATAACCTGGGCCTAAGAGGTGAAATGAATACAAAGGAATCCTAACATCATCTGGTGAGGGGTCCAGGGTTATTTGCCTGTTATTGTGGGACTAGCTTGATCCTGTAGAAGAGAATTAAGAGTGAGGTGTATACTGTGGTATAGTGTGTAAAGCCACTGCCTGTAGTGCTGGAATCTCATATGGGTGCCAGTTCAAGTCCCAGCCCCACTTCCAATCCAACTCTCTGCTATTGCCTAGGAAAGCAGTAGAAGATGGCCCAAGTAATTTGGCCCCTGTACCTTCGTGGGGAACCCTGAAGAAGCTCCTTGCTCTTGGCTTCGGATTGGCCCAGTTCTGGTCATTTGAGGAGTAAACTAGCAGGTGGAAGACCTCTCTCTGCCTCTCTGTAACTCTGCCTTTCAAATAAATATTTTTTAAAAAAGAATGAGGTGCATATTTATAAGTTTAGACATAATCAAGAGCAGTGACTCTAATAGTACATGTAATCGTCTGAAGAGTGCCCTCCTCTCATCCTTATGGACTCTGTAATTGAGTTCTGACAGAGGTGTTAGTTTGCCTTACTCCTCTTCTCTAGCACTACTGTTTTCTAGAAGAAAAATTTTGCCTTGGTCTGAGTAAGTATGAAGTGAAATGTGTTAATAATTGTTATTTCTAGCTAGTAAGAGTACAGCTTTTTTTTTTTTATTCTCCAAATCATCTATAATGAATACATATTAGTTAGCCAACAATAATGTCACAAAATAATGTTACAAATTTAAAACAAATAGATATATATTATTTAGTAAGGATAGAATTATTTTCCTTCCTTCCTTCCTTCCTTCCTTCCTTCCTTCCTTCCTTCCTTCCTCCCTCCCTCCCTTCCTTCCTTCCTTCCTTCCTTCCTCCTTTCCTTCCTTCCTTCCTTCCTTTCTCTTTCAAAAATATTTGTTTATTTTGAAAAGCAGAGTTATATATAGAGAGACAGAGAAGGAATCTTTCTTCTGTTGGTTCACTCCATGAATGTGTATTAAAGGCAGGGGCTGGGCCAGGCTGAAGCCACCTTCTGCTGCTTTCCCAGGCCCATTATCAGGGAGCTGGATGGGAAGTAGAGCAGTGGGGACTGGAATGGCACCATGTGGCAGCTTGACCTGCTATGCCACAGCACTGGCCCCAGATTAGAATTCTTCCAAGGGCATACCCAGTGTGATTGTGGGCAAAACGAAATGAACAAACAATTAACCAAGAACTTAGAGAAACAAGCTCAGGCAGTAAAAACAATTAGATGTAGGTAAGCTTATAAAAAGTTCATTTTTGTAAGATTTTAAGGAAAGCACTTATTTTGGCAGAGGAGAAAGCTAATATTTATCTGCTGGCTGCAAGGCTTAATTCTTAATACATATATAGAAAATAAAGTTCTTCTGGCTCTATGAAACACAGCCAGAAAGTTTTTTTTTCTTTTCTTTACAATTTCATAGTAAAATGAAATAAAAAGGTATGAAATAAGGTAAATGGTTATGAAAGTTCTTTACAGAGGTGAAGTATTTTGCCAATCTATTACTAACATTGTCAGAGATTACTGCATTCTTCTTGTAATAATGGCTGTGTGACTTGTCACAGCATCTCATATTTACATAAATTTACTCCCATTCTCATCACATTTAAATAGTGAGGTATGTCATGGCTACCAATGAAGACAATGCCTAGAGCAATGTCCATGTCAGCCTGAGAACACTGCACTCCTAAAAGGCACATTACAGCTTAAATCCACAGTGGAGACAATCATTTCCCTACTTTAGATGTAGGAGAAATGTTAGGAAACATTAAGAGCACCTGTACTTTAAAAAGACCTCAGAGATTAAAAAACATGAGCCAAACCCAGTTTTCATAGCTATTGTGTGAATTCAGCTGCTTCAAGTTCTCAGAAATCCTAAAGCTGCTCATACAATGTGTTTAGCTGAAGGTGAATGGCGCCTTGCCTGACTCATCAACTATCAATGATAGAGTAAAATGAAAAGCAGTGGTAGACCCAATCTCAGCCTAGGCAGTCTAATGGGCCTAAAATTTGGTATCATTATTTTACACTGGAAGTAGATGGGATTATGGGGGGAGGGGTCAGGATGGTTTGAATTGTGCTGTAACTTCATCTTGTGGGGGCCCACGCTGTGGCATAACAGGGAAAGCCACTGCCTGCTGCACCGGCATCCTATATGGGCACCAGTTCGATTCCCGGCTGCTTATTTCCCATCCAGCTCTCTGCGATGGCCTCCAGGTTTTTCCTGGGAAACACGGAACCCTCGCTGAATTCTCTCCCGATGGTACAGAGAGCAAACAACATGTTCTAATTTCAAAGGAACAGAACCCAATCTTGAAAAGCAAGAAGCCTTTAGAGAAACTGACAAGGTATGCATTTATATATCCAGGCATCAAGATTGGAATCAAATTAGAGTTTTGCAAAACTGAGAAAGAGGATCAGAAAGAAGAAATTCTTGGAGAAGGTAGAGTTCTTCTAGGTGAACTTTGATGGATGCAATACAGTACATATTTTTGCAACAGAGAGACCAGCTTCTGTGCTACCCTTCAGTCTAAGAAGCTGAGTCACAAACAATCCTAAGCAACTAAAATAGCTTCAGACTGAATGGTAAAATTTTGCATAGTGAAAGAAGAAGTAAAGGGTGTGACATATGTAGTACTTAGCAGTCAAATGCTGCCTTTACCACCACTACAGCCAGAAAAACCAGCTGATGTGTCAGACATGTTAAAAAATGAAAGTGTGCCACAGTAGCTGGTGGCTTTCTCTGGCAACATTTCAAGAAAGAAATCATCAAGCCAACTTCTGTAATGGTGCCTGTCATGCAATATTAGGGAAAAGCAAGAGGCCCAGGAACTCAGTTTTCTGGAGGGTTCCAGAAATGTCCCATTCTTTAATGGAAATAGCTGGAGAAATATAAATATCAGGACTGTAAAAACATTAAAGCCCTCATTGGAAAAGCCCCCACACAGGAAAATGTGTGGGCCTGAATTCTTCCATTCTGGAAGGGTAAAGGCTTGAGCTGATGCTGCTGGGATGAGACACTGAAAGTCTTATTAAGAAACGCAAGACAAGTGAATAAAGTTGACATACACATCACGAAATAGCCTCTCCCTTACAACAATGCTAATGCTGTGGTTTTGATTTGAAAGTACAGAGAGATGCTTTGCATTTTTTAGTAACAAAAAGAAAAGATCATGAGATTTGTCCCTAATTTTCCATTTCCTTCCATTATTTTTTCTTGCATCTGAGGAACTATAGCTTATTTTTAAATTTCATTGAGCTGTTTTATATTCTTCAAAATATTGCTGAACACATAGGTATTACTGAATTGTTTTTCTTTGTTCTCTGAGAGATTACAACTTAGAATGTCCTACTCATCCTCCTCTCTTGAGGAAGCAATCACCTTGAACCTGGAACTACATTTGTCTATGTATATATCTTCCCTCAGGTACTTTGAGAAAGAATGCCAACAGTAAGAGAGATTTTGGAGCCAGAACATTTTGGTTTCAAAGTCTTGTTCTGCTTGTTACTGACAGAAAGGGCTGAACAAATTATATTTATCTGACCTAGAACAAATTATATGGGCCCCAGTTTTCTTATCTACAGAAGGTAATCATCACTTCACAGGTTTGTTGAAAGGCTTAAATTAGACTTTGGGCCTGCACACTGTTCTTCTGTCTTCGTTTCTGTATCTGAGGGCAATATAGGTTGACAAGAAATGAAAAAGAGAGCAAAAGAAGAGGCATTATAAACAACCTCTACAAGAAAGGATCTCCTCTATTCTCTTCAGGTTCAATTTGAAACATCTATCATTCAGACAATGAGTGGCTCACACGGAGGACAAATGAACATATATCCTAAATATCCTACACAGTCCTCCATCTTAAAAACATGTATGGATCTGGTCATATTTTATAAGTGTTATTGTTATACTCAGTGTCCCAGCTGCTTTAGAGGATAAATCCAAATATATTTAGGAGGCAAAATATAAAAACTAGAAACATGGATTGGTTTACATATGACACAAAGTCTATTATAAAACTAGAATCAATATCCTCAGGTGCAACTTTCTGAGTATTTGTTCAACATCATTCTCTTTTAAACAAAAAAGTACAACAGACACTAAGAGATGTAAACAGATACAGAAATGTGTTAAAATTTAAACAGTACCTCAAGCTCAACAGTGTTTTATGTATTCTAATCCTAATATTTCTCTGACTGTGTAAGAATTCATCTATCATATTGCATGCAATTAGCTCATAATGTAGATCAAAAGTTAAAGCCATCCTGAAACAGGAAACCAATATTCTTCCTGTTTAATCAACAAATCTAAAAATTTATTCTTTTCATCTATTTATTCTTACTCTTGTCCACCACAACATGCAGCTTACATGTCATCATAGTTTTATGACAAAGAGAAAATTTTCATGAGTTACTTTTGTATCTCCACCCCCTTAAAGAAAGGAGGAAAAATTGTTTCATACAGAAGGCGTTAGTTGTATGAATTAGAACTACAACCTAAGTGTGGGCTAATGTAACCAAGAGGGATTTCACCTACATCCATTCAGTCAGTATATGGGGGTTTAAAGAAATTCCAAAGAGTCATCAGAGGAGGAAAAATAAAGGTAATACTTTTTGCCACACAGGTAGAGCCTTTGAAAATATGTGTAATATGTAAAACATTTTGACACCCCCATAATATTTTTCCAGAATTAGCAGTATAAAATGCTTCTCTAGTTCAAGAGCTTCCTATCACGCTCTGTAATCACTACTCACAGTAACCTCAACTCTTGCCACAATGTACAAAGTACAACTCTTGTCTTGCATTGCACTAACTCTTGCACTCCTTACAAGCAGTGCACCTACTTCAAGTTCTACAAAGGAAACACAGGAACAACTGGATCAGCTACTGCTGGATTTACAGGTGCTTTTGAAAGGAGTTAATGTAAGTATATTTCCTTTCTAACTAAAATTATTACATTTATTTTTTCTAGCTGGGGTTTATTTTTAAATAACAGTATGTTATGCTTTCTTAGGATTATAAGAATTCCAAACTTTCCAGGATGCTCACATTCAAATTTTATATGCCCAAGAAGGTAAGCCAAATTTTCCATGTTTAATCTGTGTTTTAATAAGAGTACTATATAGCACCTCATTTGAGAAAAAGAATGAGTAACTTCAACATATTTTTTAAAAAAATTTGATAATGAAGCTTTTGTTGAAATGGCCTTGCTTATATTTATATAAATGTGTGTGTGTGTGTGTGTGTGTGTGTGTTGTGCGAGAGGGAGTGGAAAGAAAATACAAGAATACCATACTTCATTGCTAGTGTAATTTTTAAAGAAGATTGTGTTGATTTACTTTTTATTTAAAGATGCAAAACTCTAGAGGTATTTGATGATGATATTTTTGGATGTAAAATATTGACACTGATTTGAGAGGAGCCCCATTTAAAAGTCATTTATTGCTTTAGGAAAGACTTCCAATAGTCTTTTTGAGAGGCAGCATAGCACAGTAATTGAAAGCACAGACACTTTTGGACCAGAATACCTAAAGTGTAATCCTAGCTCTTCCGTATTCTAGTTTTTGTGAACTTGTCAGTTTCATAAGTACTTACATGGAAATTAATTGTGTATATGTGACATAGTTTTGTATTAATGAATTAATGTAAAATTAATAAAAAGCACTTAGAACAGCATCTAGCATATGGTAAATATACAAACATGAACAAGTGGCTGTAACAGTGAAGACAAAATTCTCATTGGAAGGTATAAAGTAAGATTTTTAATATGTATGTTTTTTTACCAGTAAACTAGAGATTTTAGATGGTATGTGACCTACTTTTCAAGATTAAAAGCTTCATTTGGTTGTTTTGGGATTCAGATGGTTAGATGATTAGCATAGATCATCTAATTTCCTAGTCACAACAGAAATATAGGTTCCTAGCAGTTGGGCCAGTCAACAGAATATGGGCAAAACTTTGGATCCAAAGACTTTGTTCTTGGTTTAAATCCAGTCAATCCCAGGAAAAAAAAATGGGATTTAAGGAGACACAGATGTACAGATATAATTCTGTTGATTCACTTGTACTGTTTGAGGAAATTCTGCTTCAAACTATTCTTTTGAAAGCTGAAAAAGAGTTTACAGATGTTCCTCTAATTTAATCAGAGTTATATAACTGATAACTCCAATACAAAGACAGTATACTGTTTCCTGAAAGAAATAGTTCTAAATTGTTCTTTCCAATTCTTAAGCCCTGGTTTTATAGAAAATGTGGGAGTGAGTTGAAAGGCAAGAGATGGACACATTAGGAAATATGTGTTGTCTAGTACTACTTTTTCCTCTAAAGATTGTTAGAAAGATATCATGCAATTATATGCATAATTTGGATGGCAGTATAATTCTTTGAAATCTAGGTTTCTAAATGACAACTCAAAACTGTATTTGAAACCAAAAGTAATGTGATGAATTCTATTCATTTATTCGTTTAACCACCATTCTCTGTCTACAAAAGACTTCAGAAATAAAAATATTTAATGCAACAGATGCTGTGTTAATACTATAAGGAAAAATAATCAAATTTTATTCTTGGCTCTACCTACTTATGTGACCTTAGGAAAGACACACATTCTGAGATTTAGCTTATTTGTAAAATGGGGATAACAATACTTCACTGCCTACCTCAACGAGTTGCTTATGAAGCTTAAATGGCTTATTTAGGAGAAAACACTTGGAAACTACATAATAGAAGAGTGAAATATTATGGATAAATAGATTCATGTATAAGAAGACCTATCCAAAATCCTTAAATGTTGTGACTTGTTTTTCGGTTGGGAAAAATACTTTTTATAATTCATCTGAATGCAGTTATTGTAGAAAAGTAAAAATGTGCAGTTAGATGTACCTTGTTCTAGGCTATACTGAGAGTCATTACTACCTAGCACAACAATCCCATCTCTACAGTGCTGAGATTGTGATAAATGGCATCCAAGAATTTCTTCTGTCCCTTAACATTCTGTGATTCTCAGCTTTTAGAAGATCAAACACTAGCATCATATAATATACCTACACTTTCACATTCTGACTGCTCTGTTTCTAATGATTTCCATGCAGTTTGGAAATGCAGTCAGCCTATGCACTTGGAGCAGGAGTGTTGCCTCCTCCCCAAGCCAAATTAAGCTGAACTAATGACTCATTAGCTGTTAACTCACAGTTAATACTGGTCATAGCTACTGGAGCCCTAGTTTTTCCAGTTTATTAATATAAACTGTATTGATCTCTCTTTACAATACTGACAAAAGGGAGAATGATAAAAATTATACAGTGCTACTTTTTATAATATAAATTGGAGATTATTTTCTGATTCTAATCTTTAGTATAAGGGAAACGATGCTGATAATTATTTTTATTATTATTTCAGGTCACAGAATTGAAACATCTTCAGTGTCTAGAAGAAGAACTCAAACCTCTGGAGGAAGTGCTTAACTTAGCTCAAGGCAAAAACTCTCATGGGGGAAATACCAGAGAATCAATCAGCAATATTAATGTAACAGTTCTGAAACTAAAGGTAAGGAATTACTTTATTTGCTCTCTCAGAAGTAAACTAGTAGAAGGGGGAAAATACTGCATTATATAACATTATAGAACTTTTTGGTATTTGTGAAACACCATGTATTTAAATAGTGAATGCTTTTGTCTACTGTGAACATGAATCATTTTTCATGTTACATGATATATTGCAGAACTGGGAAGTATAAGCTACAGGGTTTTTACTGGCCATGCATCCAGAGCCAAGCCTCAATCCCCATATTCCAACACATTCATGTTAACACAGAACTGGGAGTGAAGGAAGGCACTGAATTGAATTTCAAAGAAAGAAGACAGATTTCATTACATATTCCTCAGTTTCTTAAGGTCATTTACAAGAATAGCTAATACTTATTGAGGGCCTTTTCGAAAGTCTCAGAATAATGACAGTGACTAAAAAGACAATGTATTAGATAACTGACTCTTTATTTGGAAGCCTACTTAAATATTTATAAATGCACTAGATTATGAAATAAACAAGGAGCTCAGGTGATGTGAAAAGGACTCACAGTTCTCTATTCTCATCTTATTTGCCAAAGTACAAAATCCACTATTTAATAAGTATCCTAAATAAGCAGCATAATTTTAATTATGCAGTACAACTAAGCTTCTAAAAATATGTAAGTCTCGCTGTTCCCAAATAAGGTTGTTTTATTAGTGGATTGCTTCAGTTTTAAATAAAAAATATACTTACAAATATATGTTTACAAATATATAGTTATCTATATATATGTAGAAAGCACAATTCATGTCATCCAGACATTGACAGACTATTTCTTACTATTGTTAGGAGATCTGCTCTGAAATCATTAGCCAACATCAGAAAATTCACTCGCAACTCTTGACACAAGTTAAGATAAAATTATGTGAAAATCAGAACAGTATTTTAAAAACCAGATACAATTCAAAATGTGAAAAAAAATTCTGACAGATTATAATATTGAATAATTACGTGCAAGACAGCATATAATATTAACATTTCATTTAAAGGGAATATGCATTAGGGATCTTCAAAAAGTTCATGGAAATACACATACTGAAAAAGCTGCATGAATTTTAGATTTTTTTTCACCAAAAGAAACTTATCCTTTAACTATCCTTTTTTTCTATGGACTTTTTGAAGTACCCTCCTATTTAAAGGCAAAATTTCAACTTACTTCGTTTCTGTTCCCAGGCTAGGAATTCAAATTTGAAAAAGCCCTCTCTTATATCTCACTATATATCAACATATTTCTTTTCTTATATATAAAACATTTCCTTCTTGGCTTATTAGAGGCAAAACTGAAATGGCTCCTTTCAGCAGACTCGGTTAATTTTCGACTTTTAAAAGTTAGGATGCTCATCCTCATTGATTTTAGTGTATGGGAGGGTAGGTATGAGTATTTGTGAAGTTTGAATATGTTCTTCATACAGATTTCTCCCAAACAGAAGCTAGTACTTACTGTGGGCTGGCTCTATCCTGGTTTGGGAAAAATATGAGGAGATTCACTTATGTAGAGAAAGAGAAGGCTCTTAATCAAGGTTTAGGAAAGAAGAAAGTATAATATGCATATGACTTCATATATTTAACATATATAAATACAAACATGGATGAAAGAAATCAAATTCTATATCATATGTAACATTAATAAAATGTTTATAAATGTTTTTAAGTATTTATCTGCACTCAATTTAGAAAAAAATATCTTGTGTCCATTGACAAGACAAATAACAAATGAAGAAAAGTTCAGCTGTATGTTACTATCCTTGATATAATATATATCAAATTATATAATTATATAATATATAATTTTGGTATATCATTTTAATTAAGAAAATGTGGATGATTAATGTTTAATGAGCTTGAAAATAAAGGCCATAAGCTATCAAACTTTAATAATAATTATATATAAGAAACCTATTTTGAACTAAAAAAATTAAAATTTTTCTCTTACAGGGATCTGAAACATTCATGTGTGAATACGATGAGACAGTTACCATTGTAGAATTTCTGAACAGATGGATCACCTTTTGTCAAAGCATCATCTCAGCATCGAGTTCATAATTAAGTACCTCCCATTCAAAACAAATTAGACTTTTTATTTATTTAAATATTTAAAGTTTATATTTATTTTTGGATGTATTGTTTGCTACCTTTTGTAACTATTAATCTTCAGATTATAAAAATGGATCTTTTAAGATTCTTTTTTGTAAGCCCTAGGGGCTCTAAAATGGCTTCACTTATTTATCCCAAAGTATTTATTATATTGAATTATTAACTATATGTCTATGTAGCTTAATTAATAATGTTATTTAATAAAGTTGGTGAATATCAACAAGCCCAGTCATTTGTCATTTTGGGAACAGCACAGAATATGCACTAAAATATTTCTTACTCACTCCTGAGAACTCTATGAAGTCCAGATGTGTGGAGAAGTCGCTCTTCTTCTTGGAAGAGTACACAGAATAGAGATCTAGGCTTCTCAAAGTCCCTGTCTTCTCCTTGTAAGAGCTGATCAGATTCTTAGTTCTGGTCTGAGGAAACCTTATCAGATGATAACATTTTCATTCTTGAAAGCATTCTTGAAATTGTTCATAGGACTACTGCATCTGTTTTTCCATTGTCCAACAGCTTACACCTTGCTTTCTGCCTCCAAAGAGGTTCACTTGCATGGTTTCTCAGAAACCTGAATATAACCCTACCATACAACCCAGACATCCCACTCCTTGGAATTTACCCAAAGGAAATGAAATTGGCAAACAAAAAAGCTGTCTGCACATTAATGTTTATTGCAGCTCAATTCACAATAGCTAAGACCTGGAACCAACCCAAATGCCCATCAACAGTAGACTGGATAAAGAAATTATGGGACATGTACTCTATGGAATACTATACAGCAGTCAAAAACAATGAAACCCGGTCATTTGCAACAAGATGGAGGAATTTGGAAAACATCATGCTGAGTGAATTAAGCCAGTCCCAAAGGGACAAATATCATATGTGTGGGGAGCAGCTCGGACTAGACTAAGTTACTGGAATTAAGACTTATTCTATGCATCTGCTCTCCCACAATATGGCGCTGGGAGAGAAGTAAACAGCTTCTACCCAGCTGCCTCTCACCAACTTGACAAGCTGCAGAAGCTGCTCCTGATTGGAGAGCGGCGTGCTCGGCGTGTGGGCAGCCAAGTTAGGATTGGCAGAGGAGGACTATAAAGGAGGAGAGAGACGGCATGCACCAGAAACATCTAAGGGGAACATCTAGCTGAAGGAACACCTGTGCAGCCCCCGAGAGAGCCGGCCGGCGGTGTGCCGCTCCCCTGCGGAAGTGGGGAATGTGGCCAGGGGGAACTGCCCTTCCATGGAGGTGGAAGGGATAGTAGCCAACCCGGGAAGAACCAGCAGCTAACCCGGGGAGGGCCGAGCAGACGAAAGAACAGCGCAGGGTCCTGTGTCGTTCCTCCACGAAGAGGGGGAGCGACATAATGGTGCCGTGACTCGGATTAGGAAACCTAGGACGGATAGGAAACTTAGGAGGGAAGAAACGGGAAGAAATGGGAAAATATCGGAGAGAGAAACTAGCAAACAGCCTAGGGAAAAGCCGGACGAAAAAGGTGCCGGAAGAAGCTATTGAAAGCCTAGGCATAGACTCAGATACGGACTACGGGGGGAAGCTGGGAGAAATCTCTAAGGTCGAAAGCGAAAGTGAAAGCTAGAACAAACAGACTCGGATGCGGACTGTGGGGAGAGGCCAGGAGAAATGAGGGAGGAGTATTGTTGGAGGAAAACTTAAGGAAACATACCGGGTAGAGAAAAATGTTAGGGAAATTGAAGCCGCGGGGGGCAGGCCGAGGCGGAGACGAAAGCCACTTTGGGATTCTCAAGTTAGCCCGGGAATAGGGGGCGAAAAGTTGAAACCAGAAGCAGAAACGTAAGCCAGATTGGGATCCGTCTGATTAGCCCAGGGAGCAAAGGACGGGAAGCCAAATCGTGGGGCGGAGACGTGAGCTGGGTCGAATTCGCCAGGTTAGCCCGGGGAACTTGGATTGAATGCTAGTGGTGGAGACGTGCTAGTGGTGGAGACGTGAGCTGACGCTGTGTGACTCGCGGAGGCTGCCGTGCGCAGAGAGAGCGTGCGGGGCACAAGTAGATAGGGAACGCGGGGCTAGCGCGGAGACCGCGGAGTGTGCGCGCAAAGCCGAGCCACGCAGATGAGAGAGGCGCGGGCTGAAGCGGCTCAGAGCCGGCGAAGCGCGGAGAAGCAGCCTCGGGGCGGGCGCCGGCAGGGCGAGGCGCCGGGAAGCCGCGGGGATAAGAGAAACAGAAGTTTAGAAGTAAAACGAGAGCGGGAAGCTGCAGGGATAAGAGAAACAGAAGTTTAGAAGTAAAATGAGAGAAATAGGAATGCTGGAAGATAGAAGTAAAATGGGAGAAATAGGAATGCCCGGAGATAGAGAAATAGAGAAATAGAAAGGCCTCCCCTCAACATGGCAATGAGAAAGCTTGGATTCGGTCTGCCTGATTAGGACGATAAGCACCTGCGGGCGGCTAGCAGCTTATGCGCCGCAGGTCACCGAAGACAGGCACGAATTAACATCAATAAGGCCTCCCCACAACATGGCAATGAGAAAGCTTGGATTCGGTCTGCCTGATTAGGGCGGTAAGCACCAGCAGGCAGCTCGACCAGAGTGTGAGCTGCAGGTCACCGAAGATAGGCACGAATCAACACCAATAAGTCACCCCACAACATGGCAATGAGAAAGCTTGGATTCGGTCTGCCTGATTAAGGCGGTAAGCACCAGCAGGCGGCTCGACCAGAGTATGAGCCGCAGGTCACCGAACACAGGCACGCATCAGCGCCTAAAAACCTCCTCACAACATGGCAAAGAGAGGACCCGGATTCGGTTTGCCTGATTGATAGGACTTGTAAGAACCTGTGGCAACTCTAGCAAGTAGAGCAGAGTGTGTGCCGCGGGACACCGAAGACAGGTGCGTATCAACGCCAAAAAATAAAAAGAAAGGGGGATCTGTGGGGAGCAGCTCGGACTAGACTAAGTTACTGGAATTAAGACTTATTCTATGCATCTGCTCTCCCACAATATGGCGCTGGGAGAGAAGTAAACAGCTTCTACCCAGCTGCCTCTCACCAACTTGACAAGCTGCAGAAGCTGCTCCTGATTGGAGAGCGGCGTGCTCGGCGTGTGGGCAGCCGAGTTAGGATTGGCAGAGGAGGACTATAAAGGAGGAGAGAGACGGCATGCACCAGAAACATCTAAGGGGAACATCTAGCTGAAGGAACACCTGTGCAGCCCCCGAGAGAGCCGGCCGGCGGTGTGCCGCTCCCCTGCGGAAGTGGGGAATGTGGCCAGGGGGAACTGCCCTTCCACGGAGGTGGAAGGGATAGTAGCCAACCCGGGAAGAACCAGCAGCAAACCCGGGGAGGGCCGAGCAGAAAAAGAACAGCGCAGGGTCCTGTGTCGTTCCTCCACGAAGAGGGGGAGCAACAATATGTTCTTCCTGATCAGCGAAAACTAACTGAGCACCAAAGGGGAAACTTGTTGAAGTGAAATTGACACTATGAGAAACAGTGACTTGATCAGCTCTTGTCCTGACTTTTGATGTACAATGTAATATTTTATCCATTTTAGCATTTTTTTTGTTCTAGTACTATTGGTTGAACTCTGTATTTAACACACAATTATTCTTAGGTGTTTAAATTTTAACTGAAAAGTGATCCCTGTTAGGAATTTGGAAAGCATTATGCTGAGTGAAATAAGCCAGTCCCAAAGGGACAAATACCATATGTTCTCCCTGATCCGTGACAACTAACTGAGCACCAAAGGGGAAACTTGTTGAAGTGAAATTGACACTATGAGAAACAGTGACTTGGTCAGCCCTTGCCCTGACTGTTGATGAACAACTTAATACGTTATCCCTCTTAGTAGTTTTTTTTTTGTCTGTTCTACTTAATACTTTTGGTTGAATACTGTAATCAATACACAGTTATTTTCAAGAGTTGAAACTTAACTGAAAAGTGATCGCTTTAAATATAAGAGCAGGAATAAGAGAGGGAAGAGATGTGCAATTCAGGACATGCTCAAGCTGACTTACCTCAAACGGTAGAGTTAGAAACATACCAGGGGATTCGAATTCAATCCCATCGAGGTGACATGTACCAATGCCATCTCACTAGTCCCGGTGATCAATTTCTGTTCACAATTGATCATAATGATAGGACTAAGAACCAAAGGGAGCACATAAACAAGACTAGTGTCTGCAAATACTAGCTGATACAATAAAAAAGGGAGAGAACGATCCAACATGGGAAGCGAGATACACAGCAGACCCATAGAATGGCAGATGTCCTAAACAGCACTCTGGCTTCAGAATCAGCCCTTAAGGCACGTGGATCTGGCTGAAAAGCCCATGAGAGTATTTCAGGCATGGAAAGCCAAAACACTCTGGCAAAAAAAAACCAAAAAACAAAAAACAAAAACAAACCCTAAATGAAAGATCTCCGCGAGTGAGATCCCAGTGAAAAGAACGGGTCATCAAAGAAGGAGGTACCTTTCTCTGAAGGGAGGAGAGAACTTCCACTTTGACTACGACCTTGTCTAAATATGATCAGAGTCAGTGAACTCAAAAGGCTTCCATAGCCTTGGAAACTCATGACAAGAGCCTAGGGTCATTACTGATGCCATAAACAAGAATGTCAATTTGTTAAGTCAACAACAGGAGTCACTGTGCACTTACTCCTCATGTAGGATCTCTGTTCTTAATGTGCTGTACATTGAGATTTAATGCTATAACTAGTACTCAAACAGTATTTTACACTTTGTGTTTCCATGTGGGTGCAAACTGTTGAAATCTTTACTTAATATATGCTAAACTGATCTTCTGTATATAAAGAGAATTGAAAATGAATCTTGATGTGAATGGAAGGGGGGAGGGAGAGCGAAAGGGGAGGGTTGCGGGTGGGAGGGAAGTTATGGGGGCAGGGGAAGCCATTGTAATCCATAAGCTGTACTTTGGAAATTTATATTCATTAAATAAAAGTTAAAAAAAAGAAAAACAAAAAAAAATTCAACATTGTTAGTGCAGTGAGATTCAAGATGTTTAGACCAAAGGAGATAGAAAATAAGTCATGAATAGACTGATTTAATTAAGATAGGTGCAACTTGGCCAGTGCTGCGGCTCACTTGGCTAATCCTCCGCCTGTGGTACTGGCACCCTGGGATCTAGTACTGGTTGGGGTGCTGGTTCTGTCCTGGTTGCTCCTCTTCCAGTCCAGCTTTCTGCTGTGGCCCGGGAGTGCAGTGGAGGATGGCCCAAGTGC